CAATAAAACGGCCCTTTTCAGGGCCATCAAGCTTATAACAGTACAGAATTGGAATTGAATATATGTATGCCTGTTTGTCCATATTCAGAATCACAGGCCCCAACGACCACACAACATGCTCTCCAGAGTTGTAATCTTGTAACCAAACTTGGAAGCAGGGATGCAAGTGATTTTGATTGATTCTCTTCATCAACTTTCTCTTTGAAAAAAATTACTTTTAAAAAAACTGAAAGAGTTGAGATAAAAGATGATTGATCAATTAAAAGAACTAAATGCTCTTCACGTTTATTTCATCCACTAGAAATCCTACGTCAAGCTTCCGCTCGTTCCCCTAGGCACAGACCCTTCTACTTTTTTGGACTTTAGACCGCCTTCAGCTGCGTTGACAATTGTCATTACAAAAAAAAAAAAAAAACTTGCATGGACCGTAGACAATCACCCCTCCCCTAAACTGTCTACGTACTTTATGAACAGCCCCTTAGCGATCTAGAACAAAATATAAAATTAGGCGAGAAGTATGCGCTACTCACTGCGCAACATATATCTATCATCGAAATGGGATATTTTTGGGATATGCCCAAAACCCATATTTTGTATTTTTCTAAATTTATTGATGGACTTGACTAACTCTAACAGGTTTAGAGGGTATCATTGTATATGAACTTCTTCGTTATGAGAAATTTGTTTCGGTAGGGAAATTAATATTAATAAACGAAATTCCGCGGAATTCTATTACTTTTTCGATAAAATTCAAAATTAAACTCGAAATTTTCTGCTCTAATCTAAACGAAAAGAAACCAAAAACAAGCGAAACAAATAGGGGAATTTACGTATTCTCGGCAACCTAAGCAGCGACCTTCTTTCTATAGCCTTTTTCTCTAAGGAACGCACACATATGCAGTATTGGTTTGTTTACAATCTTTTACTGCCAGCTGCTCTAACAATTTCAGTCGAAAGAATCGTCAAAAACTGTTTTGAAACGCATTTACAAAGCTCCAATCTTCTCTAGTGAGAGCGAGTATTGTCGGCAACCAGTTTTTCTTCGGCAACCGTTCCATTTGAACTGCATGTAAATCTGCTGTTCTATTATCGGCAACTCGAAATCAGCTTTTTTGTAGTGCGTGTGTTGCATTTCAAGAAAACCTTGCTAGATTGCTTTTTCTCAGTGGTAAAAATATAGTCAAATTGAAGCTGAAAGCATAAAGAATCGTTTGCATGCATTCAGCGAAGTGTTTTCGTAAGAAAATCTAGTGAAAATAGTGTTTCAATTTGGGTTGCCGAAAATAGTCTGTCATGCCGAAGCCGTCATTTCCCCTATATTCTATGGAAACCCGTTTCGAAACGAATAAAACGAAATTACTCGATGTATCGAATACTCCTACTGCGAATTATCAATTACATTAAGGATGCTTTGGGGTCCATCAAATAGCAAGTATACTAACTAGTTATGCATTGTTAGCAGTTCTTAATTTTTTGATAATTGCGACACACTTTGATAAATATCTAAAAAAGACAGCCCACCAATATTCAGGGTAGAAATCGTAATCACCAAAATGACCTTTGCTCAAAACACACAATACATTTTTCATAACAATTGTCTGAATTACTGTGCCAGTCTGCGATTAACCGTAAGTGGATTGAAAAACGGTGGTAAATAAGAACAATTCAAATTTATAATGAGAGAGAGAGAAGGATTAGTATTTTCCATTTAATTCCACTACTTTATTTGCTTATCCTTGACAGATACGCGTATTTCGTCTACAATGTGCAGACTTCTTCAGTGTCTTGTACTAATACTCGAGTATTAGTACAAGACACTGAAGAAGTCTGCACATTGTTGACGAAATACGCGTATCTGTCAAGGATAAGCAAATAAGGTAGTGGAATTAAATGGAAAATACTAATCCTTCCCTCTCTCATTATTCAGGTATTCCACTAAGACGCCCACATTCATCAGAATTCAAATTTGCAGCACATCTGCTCAAGGCTCCAGGAAGATCCATAGTCTTATTAATTTAAACTCTTACCATAATATAGGACCACATTCCGGCTTTCCGCACATACTAGATTGTTAAAAGATTTACGACGTTGTTGAAACATCTCCAAACTTTTATCTCAACCTCCTTCACGTATATACCAGCCACCGACTTCGTAATATGTTGAACTTCCGGTCGTTCGTGACGATAGAAAATAATGGAAACTTTCATCGGCATTGTTTGCTGGAGTAACCCTTATGTTGCTGCTCTGCGTCCGGATGGCTTGGCTATGGCTATTCTGTGGTCTGCCACCATCGCCACTGCCATAGATGCCGAACCGAGACACCGAGGAGATAAATCAAAATAATTGCTACCAGAAAGATTAGTTGCCTCTTCCATATGGGATGTATCGCACATGCAAGGCGGAAAGATTGCACGAACGAGTGGCGAAAGAAATATATGACTTGTTGTAAACTTTCTTTTGTTTGGGTAAGGTGTTTTCTCAGGTTAGTTTGAAGTGCGCGGGATTTCAGGTGAGAGTTTCTGGTTGGATTTATTAAAGTATCGTCGATGGTTGTGGTTTAGTTGGTGATCTCGTGGATCATCATCTGAACCCAATTCAGTGAATGCCTTCACTGAATAAATTCCACCAAATGCCTTGCCTTCCGGCTGTTCTGTTCCACAACCAGGCATACCAAAAGTACCGCCTCATGACAGTATTCCAACGGCTGTCGCTTTCTTTTTCCTACGACAGCCTTGAGATTGAGCTATAAGCGACAGCCCACAGTGAGGCTTTTATACGACATGCAACGTTGCCGTCTTGTGCTGTTCACGACAGCTTGTTCTTAGTAATGTATTTTGTTCGTTCGGCTATGACAGCCTCGGATGGTCATTCGTAACTTTCCTCGTACATACAACAAGCAGTCCGTCAAACTGCCGATTCGTTGCTGCTGTCTTTGAAATTTTGTTTGTATGTCGTAAAACTGCTACTACACTACCAGTGTGGCGCCGGAGCTCGTTCGGTTGCTATCACGTTCGTGCTGCCCATTGCAAAATTTTCATCCGATATTTTTTTTAAACGCACGGTCTCCGGCGAAAAATATAAGCCTACCCGACACCAACCTGACTTCTACCAAACCCCAACCCGATGTTGGCCCGACATTGACCAGACATAAACACAGAATTGACCCGACATCGACCCGACATTTGGCCGACGTCGACCATAAAATGACCTTACATTGATCCGACATCGGGCCAACATATCTGTTCGGGATCATTCATCTGTGTTTCTTCCATACTCCACTGCCGTATATCAATTGAATATAATGTCTCGTGACAGCCTTTTCGTGACAGCCGCTTGGGTAAGCTGAGGGATGTCGTCGGTTTGTGAAGGCTGTTATGACGACAGAAACATTGAGAACCTGGTCATAAAGAAATGCATAAATACAGCCCATTCGGTTCACTACGTTCCAAGCACGATGATTTTAGCAAAGCGGGTATAGATGCGACTGTTCTAATACACTGGAGTCGCTTTTTACGCGGGTGATACGTCCCGCGTAAAAAAAAACCGCGTAAAAAAACCGCGTAAATTCCGGAATCCGCGTAAAAAAAAACCGCGTAAATTCCGAAATCCGCGTAAAAAAAAACCGAGTCAAAAAAGACCGTGTAAGAAAAAACCGCGTAAAAAGCGATATACCGCGTAAATTCTGAAATCCGCGTAAAAAAAAACCAAAATCCGCTTAAAAAAAAAACCGCGTAAATTCCGGAATCCGCGTAAAAAAAAACCGCGTGAATTCCGAAATCCGCGTAAAAAAAAACCGCGTAAAAAAAAAACCGTGTAAAAAAAAACCGCGTAAAAAGCGACTCCAGTGTACAGCTTTCATTCGTTCGTGCGTGCGCTGTTACCAATACACTTCGAATTCAGATCTGAACGTACGGTAGCAAGCGGTAGTAAAGCACACAAAGCAACAGTCAATTCAGGTATAAACCAACTGTCGCGAGGAGGCTGTACTTTTTGGAAGCCTGTCCACAACCGTAATGCCAGTATCCACTCGCCAGTTCTATGGCACATTCAGATTGTGAGGCATTTTGAACGTCATAGGTATGTTATAAAAATCTCACCAGTCACCGGAGGCGGTTTCAGTTCCGATGTCTTTCAGACATTCAGTCATTCTTGTAGTCACTCCAGCTACGATTGATGTTCACCGATCCGTCCTGCCGCTTCTGGAACAGCGCCCAACCACCACCGAATTCATCGATTTCGTAGTACACTTAACCGTGTTGGTCGAATGAGCTTTTCACTGCCAGTCTATAAACTCCAGATCGCGGCGCGCGGGACAAAGCGAGTTTTGGCACTGGAGGCAACTTTTCATATTTCGGTTTCAGCTCGAAAAAACAAAATACTCTTTAACGCTTCATGGGTTGCATAATATTGTTGATGTTATGAACTGTGTTTGCTAAAACCTTATGACTTCTTATCTAAATTGCCTTACTCAGACTGAATGGTGAGAAGCGTCACGTTCCTTAGCAGAAGTTTGTTACAATTCTGGATTGAAGCTACCGATTGCTTCACATGCTTGGAATACCATGTCAGATGATCCAATGACAGCATTAAAGCATGAATTTTGGTGGTCATTTTATAACAAGCTTATCCAAGAAGTTTGTATGAGGTACTTTTAAAATAAGCTTTTTCAAATAATATGGGTAGGGTCTCCTCTGGCTTGACGCTCTTAGAAGAGCTTTCGCCTACTTTCAACTTAGTGTGCTTAGAAGCACATCCGCAGTTATTATTTGAGAGCAAGCTATGTCAACCTATCCATCGATTCGATATTCTATGCCCGAGGAAGTTGACACAATTTCAAACCTAACGCCTCTGGCTTGGTAATACCGTGCCTTTGTCAACTAAGCTGCACGGTTGAAAATGTTGCATGAAAAAATGGCAGATGAAATTTGGTACTATGACTTGTTAGGGTGTTCCCTTTCCATGCTAAGGAGTTTTCTCAGATAAGTTTAAAGTGCACGTGATTCAGTTGCAAGTATCCGGTCAGATTTATTGAAACATCGCAGATGATTTTGGTCCTCATAAAACTGTCATCAGTTGGTCTTCTCACGGATCATCATCTGAATCCGCTTCAGTGGATTGTACTGGATGCCTTCACTAAAGGTATTCCACCAAATGCCTTGCTTTCTGGCGATGGTACCATAAACTCCGTTCAAGTTGTTTCTGGAATGAGACAAAAGTTTCCGTTATTCAACATTTCAGATTGAAGCCAACGTTTAACAACCTTTGATCAGAAGTACTGCAGCTATAATGCCAGAATCCACTCGCCAGTTGTTTGGCACAGTCCAAATACGAAGCACTCTGAACGTCATATGTCACAAATATCTCTCCACGATAGACAAACAGAGAGTCACCGGCGGTTCCAGTTCCACTGCCATTCAAAAACAGCTTGTACTTTTGCAATTCCCCATCAACCACGATTCCACTGTACCGTTCATAGTTTGATGTTCCATTGAAACTATCCAATAGGATCAAAAGTTCATGGTGGTTCCGAGTTGTAAGATCATGCAAAGTCTCCAAGCCCAACCAGTGTTCACCGGATACAGATCCAAATCCATTCTTGTAGTCACTCCAGCTACGATTGAAGTTCACCGAACCGTCCAGCCGCTTCTGGAATACCGTCCATCCACCTCCAAATTCTTCCATTTCACAGTACACTTGCATGTACTGGTCAGATGAGCCGTTCACTGCCAGTCGATAAACTCCTGATCGCTTAGGAACATATTTGCAGGAACTATAGACAGTTTCTGGTGGCTTCGGTGCCGGATGAAACTCTCCACACTTCGGTTTCAGCTCAAAGAAAAGATTCTTTAACGCTTCATGGTTTGCACAATATTGCTGGTTTGCCGTAATTTCACTAAAATGATTTGTGTTTGCAATCAACTAATCACGTTATTATCAAGATTGAATGGCTTACTCTGACTGAAGTGTGAGAAGGGTGACGTTCCTTAGCAGAAGATCGTTATCATTCTGGATTGAAGCTACCGATTGCTTCACATGTTCGGAATACCATGTCAGGTGATCCAGAGACTGCTTTACAGCACGAATTTCGGTCGTCAGGGCTTCCATCTGCTCGTTGGCTTCCATGAACAGTTGATTCAGGCTGAAGTTACGGATGCGAAAATATGTTTTCACGATTATGGAATATTAATTGGGTTTTATCTATTTACCTGTACTGAATCGCATCGAGACGTTCTTCGATTGAAAGTGTTTCATTTTCATCGTTAGCGAGAGCGAAGTTGATTCCTCCGCACAACAATGCGAGATACGCCGAATAAACGATGAAAGCCTTCATTTCTCCTACTTTCCAAGGGCACTAGTTGACCGGGAACACGGTGTGGGACTATTTATAGGAAATAGTGGCGCATTTGCTTTGATTTTGAAGTGGGACATTGATAATATGCTTTACAACTTTCGGACGAGGCGTTACCTTACCGGTAAGTGAAGATAAAGCATCAAGTGGCTTGTTCCGGGGAAGTGAATAATTAATTTCCGTTTATACTTCTAAAAACAAAAAATGACTAACGTTGAAAAATAGAGTTACCTAAGAATTCCATTTTTTATCGTTGAATGGAAGGGGCTAAATCAGGTGACTATTATTGATGTACTTGTTTTTGAGATCTACTAGACTTTGCGGAAGATTCTTTGGATTCAGTCCGTGTTCTCAAAGATATGCCCCTGGGCGCTATCTGAACATGTTCTTTAAATTCTCAGCACTCATCATTGAGATGCTCTGAAATTTTCTCGAAAGACTTTGGGCTGGGAAAAATCACCCGAGTAAAGCTGGAGATCAAATTGAAATCAAAATTTGCTGTTATGATGTAATTTATTTTGAATACTCCAGTTGATCTAATTTTGTTTAACTTAACGGTTAACACAGCAAAAATGAGAGCGACATTTTACACGGTTGAATAAAACGGAAAACTATTTCTGCTTTCAATTAAATCAATTTGATTACTGATTTTTGCATTCATAATGTTTAACTGAATACGGGCCTGGCGTAAATCATGAGCATTCATGCTTCTCACGCTGAAAGACTTAAGCTCAAATTTCACCCCAGGCAAGTCACGAATGACCTAAAATGTGTTACTCAAAACAAATATACAATAATCAATACTTAAACGACAGATGAACTTTTAATTTTCAACAAGACGTTAACAGAAGAACTTCAATTTAAGTTGCTTTTACTTAAAAAATCTTGACTGCATAATTAAAGAACAATATGATATCAGACTTACGTCACGACAATTGAAACCAAATTAAGTTTTCATTATGATATATATATATGATACAAACTCTAATATCTTAACCAACTTTGCTCGGGCAAAGGCCCAATGAGGTATTTCTGAAGTTTTTCAGAAATTGCTTAGACGTCAACTTTCCTGATGATTTTACAGACTTTTCTTGAGATCATAGATCTGAATTTCTGTTTAAATAATGATCCATGGATATACTTTTGCACAGCAAAAAAATAATTTGGATATCACGTCAAAGTGGATGCACTACAATCATGTCGAAAATATGGTGTAATATTACTTGCTAAAAAGGACAAAATTATCATTAATACAATGCATGAACTGACATTACGCTGCTTTTACTGCATTTGTTTATTTATGTGGTCATAAAAATTACATGAAATTTTCGACATGATTGTAGTGCATCCACTTTGATGTGATATCAAAATTATTTTTTTGCTGTGTGGACTTGATCCTGAAATACATTTGAAATTGCTCTGGTGGTTCCGCAAAACGAGATGTAATTGATCAGTGGGTGTATTTAATCAAGGACATTTCTCATTATTTTTCTTCAAGCGCAATATTTTTTTTCAGGGCCTAAAAATACATTCTAGTTCAAAATCATTTGACGACAATAGTATTACATATCAACACAATAATGAGAAACTTCAATGATCAAATACACCCACTGAATTTTCCCAAGATCCCCTGGATTCGCTACGACACATTCGAAACGTACTGCAATACATGCGCTTAGATTTTCATCAAGCATCAAAATTTGTTACTGACATCCTTGGATCGTTTGAAAACCAGTTTGACCAGTCTCACCCTGTATACCAACTCTTCATACGAGCATGTGTGAAAAAAGGTGTAACTAAGAATGTCTGGGAATTTTACAGGATGATTCAGAATAACTGTCACCGATTTCACAAATATGCAATCCTCAATGGGTAAAATGGGTATATGTTCAAGTATTTTTCTTTTAAATTGTGTACAAATATCTGCATGTATTGATGGTAGGATTTGAAATTTCATTCGTTTCGATTTTAAGCAGCCATAGACGTGAAAATGGACTTACCTTACCAATCAGGCTAAGGCCTTGTTGTCCTATGGTGTCCGAAGAAGTCGTCTCCACTCTACTTGATCCATGGCCACTAGAGTGATGCAAAATTTGAAATTTTCGCTCCACAATACTTAAACGATTTCAAATCGGATCCTGACTAACCTCTCAAAGTTTGAACCCATTTGGTGAGAAACTGAGATGGCACAAACCATTTGAAGTTTGTATGGGAATTACTATGGTAAAACCAAGATTTTTGTTCATGTCTATCTAATAATTCACCATATCAGTCTGCTTCAAAAGCTTTCAACTTCACTTGTAGGAAATTTTCCCAGCTACAACTTTGCTCAATTCCACTTTTTGATTAAATGCAAGAATCGAAAGTTATCAATGATTCAATGCGATGATGTCTTATGATCATGTTCAATCAATTGCTCAGCAGGCAACGTTGGTGTTTCTGGGACGTTGAATAGGACACAAAAATCATGGCTACTATGTCACACTGCAAAATACAGTGTTGCCTACAGAGCAGCTGCTTGATCATGTCATAAGTTTACGAATCTCTTAAATAATTAATAACTATTTCCAGTCTCGTTTTACATAGAAACGATCTTCAGCAAAGTTGTAGCTGAGAAAATTTTCTATAAGAATAGTTATCGAACTGTTTTGCAGCTCAATATGGAAAAAGACTAGAAGGCAATGAACAAAAAGTTGAGATTTCCCATAGTAATTTACATGTAAACTTCAAATGGTTTGTGCGAAGTCTGTTTCTAAACAAATGAGTTGTAACTTTTGGAGGCTAATCACGACCCGATTTGAAACCATTTAAGCACTGTGGAGCGAAAAAGTCAAATTTTGCATCAGTCTAATGGCCACAGTTCGCCAGCCTCGTAGTCTGCGAAGGGTCCGCAGGTCACCTTCTACTTGGTCGATCCACCTTGCCCGCTGTGCGCCTCTTCTTCTTGTTCCTGTTGGGTCGCTTTCTAGAACCATTTTCCCTGGGTCGTCGTGCAGCATTCTTACGACGTGTCCAGCCCACCGTAGTCGCCCAATTTTTGCAATGTGGACGATGGATGGTTCTACCACCAGCTGGTGGAATTCGTGGTTCATTCGCCTCCTCTACGTTCCGTTATCCATCTGCACTCCACCGTAGATGGTACGCAACACCTTCGTGCGGCGGCGAATTTTATTCGATCGGATCGTCCTCCGGAGTCCAAAGTAGGTACGATTCCCTGCCATAATGGGTCTTTGAATTTCTCTGCTGGTATCATTTTCGGCGGTCACCAGTGAGCCTAAATACACGAACTCATCAACCACCTCGATTTCGTCACCGTTTGATCTGAATTCGGGGTGGGAGGCTAACATTTTCTTCCCTAGAACCTCTTCCTTTCATGTATTTTGTCTTTGATGCGTTGATGGCAAGTCCAATCCGCCTATCTTCAGCCTTCAGTCTGATGTACGTTTCCGCCATCGTCTCAAAGTTCCGTGCCATGATGTCAATGTCATCGGCGAAGCCAAGAAGCTGGATGGACTTCCTGAAGATCGTGCCACTCGTGTCTATCCCAGCTCTTCTGATCACACCTTTTAACGGGATGTTGAATATCAGACACCTAAGTCCATCACCTTGACGTAACCCCCTTCGAGATTCAAAGGGACTCGAGAGTGTCCCCGATACTCGAACAACGCACATCACTCGATCCATCGTCGCTTTGACCAATCGCGTCAGTTTATCCGGAAAACCGTACTCGTGCATAATCTGCCATAGCTGATATCGATCGATTGTGTCGTATGCGGATTTGAAATCGATGAAAAAATGATGTGTGGGCACGTTGTAATCGCGGCATTTCTGCAGAACCTGCCGAATCGCGAAAATTTAGTCCGTGGTTGTGCGGGCACCCATTAATCCTGCCTGGTATTTTCCCACGAAATCTCTTGCAAATGGTGACAGGCGGCGGCATAGAATTTGGGAGAGTACCTTGTAGGCGGCGCTCAGCAGTGTGATCGCGTGGTAGTTGCAGCAATCCAACTTGCTGCCCTTTTTGTAGATTGGGCGTATGACACCTTCCATCCACTCCTCCGGTAATATCTCCTCCTCCCTAATCTTGGCAATTACCCAGTGCAGCGCTCTAGCCAGTGCTTCACCACCGTATTTTAATAGCACACTCGGTAGTTGATCGACACCAGTTGCTTTTTTGTTCTTCAACCGACCGATCTCCTCCTCAACTTCTTGAAGATCAGGGGCCGGTAGCCTGTCGTCTCTTGCGCGTGCTCCAAGGTCTGTTGCCGTGCCACCTTCGTTTTCTGCTGCTTTACTGCTTCCACCTCTCAATCACCTCACACTCGTTAGTGAGAAGGTTCCCTAGTAGCACGCTTGTCATAAATCGGTGGTGGCAACTTCTATACAACTTATATCAGTCATAAATAAGTTTCTGCAACTTATTGTGACGGAAATGTGCAACTCGGGTTACCGTCCAAGTCCTTGCACATACCAGCTTGCGGCACGTAGCCTTTGCGCGAACTATTTAGCTTCTCATAGAACTTCCGTGAGCCGTTAACGTGGTGCAGATTTTCCATCGCCTCGCGATCGCGGTCTTCCTGCTAACGCTTCTTCCTTCGGAAAACCGAGTTTTGTCTGTTCCGCGCTTGTCTGTATCGCTCCACATTCAATCTCGTGCGGTATTGCAGCAGTCTCGTCCGTGCTGCATTCTTCTCCTCTACTAACAGTTTGAATTCTTCATCAAAGCAGTCATTTATTCGGTCCGGGATTGCAGTACCTAGTGCCGCTGCAGCAGTACCACCTATGGCGGAACAGATATCCCTCCAGTCATCTTCAAGAGAAGCTGCGCCAAGCTGCTCTTCCATGGTTAGTGTAACTTCCAGCTGCTGCGCGTAGTCCTGGGATACTCCGGCGTCCCGTAGATGCTCAATGTTGGGTCGCGGCGCTCGACTTCGACGGGTGTTATGCACCGTTGAGAGTTTTGAGCGCATGCATACTACAACTAGGTAGTGG